AAAAACATTAGCTCTTTTTAATCTCTCGCCTGTTACCAAACTTAAACTTGGGATGAATAATTGCTCAATCAAGATAACTTGTAACAATTTAATGACTTAAAAAACACAGTTATTAATTTTTTAAATACAGAACATTTTGCTGTGTCCAGTGGGATTAGTATGTTTTCAGACCTTACATGTAACCTATTCATTCTGTGGTGGAAATTATCCTGACTTAAAGTATTATATTGTTTCTCAAGTGCCACCTCAACTCCTTTTTTCGTTGGTATAGCCAAATTGCGTGGAGGCCTTTCTGGAAAGATGGAGATGGGAGAGGGAGTGATGCAGAGAGACACTGAGTTCAAACTAATTGTCTTTCCTTACAAATCTCTCTCTCTCCCATTGCCCAAAAATAAAGAGTAATTGTCCTAGTTAATTGCCCTAAGGGAGAAAGCAGTTGCATATGTTACATCTTTATCAAACTAGACATTGTCTTGCGTGGGATGAAAGTCATGTTGGTGGTTGCCAGAGGAGCTGTTCTTTGGGAGATCTGTAAAGTGAGCAAAACTGCTTTTCCTGTGGGTCGGTTCTCACCTGTGTATGGAGCAAGGAGGATTGTTGGGAGATTGACACTTCTATGCACAAATCTCTGTCTTCTGTTTCCATTTTCCCCTCCTTGTTCACAGTTATTCTGTGGGCAAGATGCCTCTAGACATTTTTCTAGTCTCTTACTAACTGTTCTTTTTATCATATCACTAATAATTCTGGCATGGATTTTCTTGGGAAGAACATTTAGACTCAAGTATCAACCATTGGGAAATAAATCTTTAAACCTGTTGTTCAGTAGTAGCCGTAAGGTAATACCTTTTTGAGTTGGGGGCATATGACCACGTCTGAGTTATGTTTTTTCAAAAAAAGGGTTTTAAGCAACGCCAAGTTTTACTTTTTTTCTAAAACAGTAAATGTTATAGATTGACTTTTACCGTCTAATTCAAATTAGTATGAAGTTTTATATCTTCGAGATTTTTTTATGTATGTGATTTATTTATGTATTTAGAGGCATTGTTAGATCTTGTAGGTGCTGTAGCTCACACCTGTAGTCCCAGCTACCTGGGAGGCTGAGTTGGGAAGATCACTTGAACCCAGGAGTTTGAGGCTGCAGTGAGCTATAATCCTGCTACCACACTCCAGCTTGGTTCATAGCCAGACCCTGTCTCTCACAAAATAAATAAAAATACATTCCTAGATTTTGGAGAGTTATGGGTGTAACTGAAGCTAGTTATTTTTTATATTTGTGAAGATACAGTCTCTCTTTGTGAGCTAAATTGGACAG